CAAACGGACACTACGCTGAGACACTCTTTAGACCTTCAGTTCCTGTGATACACGATATGCTCCTAAGAAAGATGTTTTGTTATTGGTGTCCATCAGTCGTGGATGCTTTCTGTTATCAGTATTGTCCTTATTATTTATGTTCGAATGGGAATTTATTTCGGTATGTCTCTCCTCTTGTCATTCTGAAAGACGCCAATCTATGTGGAATATACGTATTCAAGAAGTTTGCATCTCAAGGATTTGTCTCCTACTGGACTTGTTTTAGTTTCTGTGGTACATAATTTGCTCCGATTCACTGGTCTTTCTACCTCTGAAATAGGTTCCAAAACGTATGCAAATCTGCTTTCAGTCTGGTTTATACCCTCTTCAGCGATTGTTAGAATATCTCCAAAACCAGACTCCGTCCTCTCCACTTCAGATAGAGTAGAATCGAACCTTCTTAGTAACTGTAACGAGAGTCGCCTTGCTACAGTTTCAAGTAAAATAAAGGAATCCAATAGGTTACAATAATTTGGGGATACAACTGTATTCCGATAAGTCAGTGAATACGTAAGATCCTCGAAATAATCGTTAACTTTTACCCATTACTTAAAATGGTTTCAAGAATGCATTTGGATACCACGAAAGGTTTACCAAACCTCTGCTTTCATGTGAGTCTAATGTCCGTACAACCTTCATTTTCTGGCAGAAATTTCCAGCAACGAATCCCTCTTGATGGATGATCAGTGCACTATTTCAGTAGGTTCATGAACCTAACCGAACGTTAAGGAACACTGAGGATCGCAACCGACGTACGATTCTATTTATTATATTCTATTTTTCATTTGCCACGACACGCTAGAATAATTTCGGACAACCAGGGGCCACTTCACGCAGTGAGCCCATCGGAAGAGTTTTACCAGTGGAGAAACCACTGGGTTTTTACTTCCGGATGGTATCGTCTTAGGGTCCTCACGAACCCACTAGGGACAAGTGATCTGTAGCGTCACACACTTCTTCAAGATCAATAGCCTAGGGTTTGACGAGACTCAACACTGATGCCGACCTTGATAGTTTAACTGGACTCGCTAAGCTGAAGGCACCCGGCCAAGCATCTTGGCCATTTGGCAGGCTGTCGTGTTACGTTGCATCGCTCGTAATCGACTCTCTAGCCAGTTAGTTGGAACACATCGGTATCTTGACACGACCTCGCAAATATACTACTCCATCCGACTACAATGTTGTGTTCTTTCTTGATCTCGTATTCGTGGATATATAACAAGTCCGAATTATTAGTGACTGGCCTCTGCGTCTGTCAAGTTTGCGCCAGGACAATTCCCAAAGTATATTCTTACCTACTTAGCATAGCTTTAAACGGTTTCTCAAAGGCTGGATAACCGATCGGGTATCCACCAAGCCTTTAATGTTTACATCTTGCCAGCTTAAAACACCATCTTTCATAAAAGTGTTGGTTCTACAAGTGATCACAAATAGATTTATCATGCTTAGTCATAGACCCATTACCAATAACACCAGCGGTACTGTAATCATTTCTTATCCAAAAAGTTGGAGGGCCGCGTCCTCTCTTCGGTACAGGGATTACTGATAGCGCTCACTAAGCTGTGTGGGTTTAATATGCTTAAAAACTCAGGACAAAGGTTTGAACCAAGTAGGTAGTCAGTAATCAAATGGAACTCTATCCAAATTGAGCAGAAACCATCAATTTAGCTAGAAAACACTGACTACACTGAGAACCCATAGCTTCGGAATACTGCTAATGAACGCCAATGACCGAAATAACGCGATTCCAAAGAGCAGTGAGTACATTCAAATGTTTATACGGTGAAAATTCGAATTACTTGTATAGTATCAACAGTATAGTAATACAAGCTTTCAAAAGAGTTTGTAATGTGAAGTTGATAAAGATTCACTTCAACATCAGTTTAGTGAATACAAACCAGGCCAAAGTATGCATTGACCAATCACAATAAAACATATGAAGAATATTACAATTCATGAGGAAAATACTTTATTCACGCAAGTAAGGGATATGAAAATTCTTCTCTATGGTCATCACCTAATGGATGAGATTGCTGCCTAAACATGCTCTGATGATGATCCGAATGCATGGAATTTGTTCTCTGTGCAAGTGTTGAAAAAAATACATATCACTAGCAAGTGCGACAGTTTACCTATATCTTTCTTTGTCTTCCTCATGTCTCCTACCTTTGACATCCATGTTATAGTCACTTAAAATGGATGTACACAACTTTTGACATTGTTGACAGAAAGCTGATCAGTGGTAGGCAGTTAAGTTGAAGTTCATGGATTGAGAGACACTAAAATTGAGCATTTCGCCACTGTTTTCCAGAATCTAAAAATTAATATTGATGGAGGCTGAACTGAATTTAGAGAAGTAGTTGTACTGTCCAGTCCGGTTGCATAGCTTGACGCTTCTATCGATATAAGATGACGTTTCTTAAGGTCTACCCAGAATTCATGCTGAATATTTCTAGGTCCAAGCCCAGCTACGATAAAAACCCACGGGAATCTTCATTCCAATCCAAAGTCTGAAAGTCGTAGTTTCGGTTCTGTAAACAACCTGCAGTTTTACCATTGATCATTGTTGTTCACGCTCGTCCATGTTTCCTGATATGATACTTAGTAATGCTCCAGTTATATTATTCAAAGAGTCTATACTAGAGTTTCGAGGGTGAAAAAAGGAAAGGTTGGTACACGGAAATAGATGCTCGTAGAAGTCACCAGTGTAAATGCATCTCTTTATTACGAATTTCCGAAGGGACGCAGTATAAGCAAATAAGTTGGGGACCACTTTAGACAAACAACCCAGCCTCCGACACCCAGAGCTCCTGACCTTAAGCCTGAATACTCGTTATGTTTTCTTTATTTCTATCCACAGCTGCCTCTTTTGTTAACGTCTCACATTTGTTTAGATTGTTTTAAAGTGAGCGCATATACTACATTTTGTTTCAGTTCCGTGTTACAATTAAGAATAAACAAGTGATGATGTGGGTGTTTCGGATGAACAAATGACTCCAAGTATGTATATATGAGCCCACATAACGTTATCTTAGCGCCATAAACGTTGAGAATCCATCAGTGATGGACAATACAAGAGTCAGAACCAGTCAAGTCAATGCAGTACAAACATACACGCCTTTCGAATTTCTAATAAAGAAATACAAAGCTAAGCCATGGTAAAACCACCTTTTAGTCGTCTATATTCCAGGGGATATACATACATAAAGCACTACCTGATGTTCCTCGCTTGTTTTAACGCTACGTCCCACGACGAAAGTAGTCGGCCGCCTGTGGTTAAGTTCTAGATATAATTTGTTTCTTTGCAGTAGGAAAGAAGAGGAAATTATGGTCCTTAGGTCTAGATGATGCCAGAGGACGCTGGTAGGACAATTACTATTGGTTTGTCCAAGAATTTGTCTCAGGATTATTAGCGCCAAGTGTATCCTTGCCACAGTTAGCATAGTTCCAAGGGAAATAGAACGGTCAAACTCTTCCTCAACTAGGGCACTTGCGTTTCTGTGCCAGTTAGAATATAAGCATGAAGTTTATCACTTAAATCCAAGTTCACTGTTGTTTGTCAAGCTATGAATCCACGTGAAGTTTCTCTATAAAGAAACCCTATCTGTCTTCCTTCTAATTTTTTTTACATATTTTTATTTTATCATAGGAAATGAAGATTTTAGAAGGGATTCGCTGAGGCAAGTCGCTTATATACGTCAAAGAAGAGGGCCCAGTATACTGAACCCTGGGGAACTTCCCCTTGAACATCCTCTGTTTCCTTATATGAAAAAACTTGGCCAAATTGTCAACAAATGGACATTTGAATATGATAAAAAAAACCAGTTGGTAAGTTGATCGCCATTAGCTTTATTCTATCAGTAAGATAAGTGGTGGTGCAGTACTCATAAACATTAGGTCAAAATTTTCCTACACAACTCAGACTAGAGGCAGTTATGTCAACATTTAGTTGTTTAGCTACCCTTTGTTTGTTTTTGAAAACTCGTGTTACTTCAGCTAATTTAGTGCAGTGGGAGGTAACAGACGAGATATTAATCATATTTAGAAGTATCTTTTTATGACAACTAAGACGCATCTTTTTGATGTTAGAGGCTATCAACAGTAAGCCAATTGCGATTGACCTAGCTCACATGCGGACTGTTGGTACTTTTCAGTCAAGAAATCGATATCCAGTCAACAACCTTGTGGATATTCATGCAGTAATAAGCAGCCACACCTATTATGTGACCAGCTACTCGGTTGCCCTAACCTCGGTAGGTTCAGCTGCGCTCGAATCCCGTCGTAACCCACTGGCAAGTTGTCACATAATTTATTCAAGTCCGCATGACTCAATACTGTAATCAAAAACCATATCACTGACCTATTCAGGTGTACATGAAGACAAACAAGCAACTACCGAATACTACTACTACTACTACTACTACTACTACTAAAATATCATCCTCTTGTATAGGCGTCTACCAACAACTCAAGGCAGCATCTGAAGAGAACGATAGTATTGCGCTGCATTCGATTCTCTCCTAATGTACGTTTGTGGGAGATGGCCGTTAAAAGTAGAGGACATAAAGCCATTAAATGGCTTTGATAACATATGTCTTCGTAGCATTGCTCAACTATGATGCAATCAACATGTGAACAATTTCGAGGTCAGGCAAAACGTACTAGACAAGACAAGCCAGCAAGTCGATTGTGAAGCATAATCGATTGACATGGCTTGCACATGCTAAGTCACCACCTATCTCAAAATACCATGCTAGGAGAACGTGGATTACGATGGAAGACAGTTCAGAGTGGCCAGAGAAACACGTGGCTCCAGTCTATAAAGTCTCTGGTTTTTAGCCGAAGCTGTATGTAGACTGCGTAGTTGGCGAAGATGTATTCACAAGTGGAACTGAAAAGCTTGTATTGATTTTGTCTGTCCATTTTACAATATACACATACAAACAACACAAACATATTCATTAGTATTAGTAATCATTATTGATAATCATTTTTGTGAATACATCATTACTACTAACTAGTAGTATAAGTAGTAACAATAGTAGTATAATTCATAAATGAATAAAAAATATTATGTTTAAGTTAATAAAATAATAATAATTGCAGATTACTTTAAAATCAGAGTTTTGTTTAGCCTCATTTACATTACACATACATACACACACACATGTGTGTGGTGGGACACCGAAGAAGTTGATCGGTACACTTCTATGTCTTCCCCCCTACCCCCCCCCCCACACACACACACACAGTTCATCAAGTCAACACAGACCAATCACTAACAATAACAACACAGACAAGCAAAATAATTAAGGATAAGAAAGTGATGTTAACAAAATGAAAAAGAAAAACCGAAGCAAGTTACCTACTACTACTAATACTACTAATATTACTACTATAATAACAACAGTAAGGAATTGATGACAACAAGAGTAAAGGGAAAATCATTTGATCAATAAGGAAGTGAGATAACTACGAGTATACAATATCAAATCAAAAAGAGAACAGGCGAATCATAAGCAAAAAAAGGTGTACAGAACACTAACCAATATTACATAATTCATATACACAGATAGATAGATAGGGTAGATAGATAGATGAAATCTTTATCAGGTAGAGATCGTTGATAACACTGAAAAGCTGATTATCTAAAAGACTGTCAACTACAACACAAGAAGAAACAAAATACAGAAGAACATCACTCTGTTCATGAAACGCTGACCAACACACACACACACACACAGGCACATCATCATCAAAGAGTCAATTGAAGAGAGTAAAAGTAGCCAACATGCGTACACATTAACTTATCCTTTTTGTAAACATTCTATTTACAAAAAAAGGAATTATATAACAATAAAACTGTTCTCAACCTTAATTGTATCATACACACACACACACACACACCTACATACATACATACAAAGTATCATATACACTGATGATAGACAAAACGATACATACAAGGATACATATCAAATGAGAGGAACACGATGAAATGAAACAATCACATCAGCAGTATGCCAATCAACATACACCATATTATTATTATTATTATTATTATTATTATTATTATTATTACTGCCTTTCAACTGAACTCGGATACCTTCTTGTATCAAAAGGAATTAATAAAGATAATAAACAGGAGAACTGATAAACAATTGAAAAAAATCTTTTGTTTTTCGATGAAAAAAATTCTGTAAAACAATAATTGATGATATATATATATATATATCGGGAAGCTATAAACATACGTGTGTATGTGTGCACGAAAATCATCTACCTCCTCCTCCTCCTCATCATCATCATCATCATCAATCTACACTTATAAAATTTTAGAGAGAATTTTTCCTTTTTCTCTTTGAAATGAATTACTCATTTTTATTCAGTATACCGTTTCACATAGGTCACTGGGAACATACCACGTCGACTTTGATCTGATTGGATAACACCTTCCTAAAAGAAAAAACATATTAACCAATAGAAAGATTTGGTTAATAACAAAAATATATTACAAAATTATTATATATTGTTGTGACCAAGTGGTGGGGTTGTACGCCTGGATATAATGAATACCTTTACAACTGACTATCCTCACTACCTTCTGCTTCACTGAACCGCGGAGAAATCAGAAGACAAAAACGGCCTGTGACTACAACAACAGCGACAACTTTTATTGGACAAATATATGTAGTTACAAAACTCCTCAGAAAGTGAAGCCATAAATGAACCAATCAGATTTCTTGTATAAGGTCGAATTTCTCCAATCAGATTCTCATGTCAGCGCATGCATAAATCATGATCTGATCATGACTTGAAAGCAACTTCCCTATTGGCTGCCTTTCGTCGCTACCTCATATATATATATATATATATATATATATATATGACTTTTGAGATGAATGGGTTTTTTTTTAATTTAGAGGCAGTATTCATCATGCAGTGATATTAGTTGGCGAACCACCGAAAATCTAGAAGAACTGGACAGCTGTTTCGTCCTAATACGCAACTCCTCAGCGGTAAGCACCCACGACCCGCCTACGAATCGAACTCAGAAGCTTCAGGTTTCACGGCAAACAACCTAACCATTCAGATAATGGGTTGGTTTTTAGTGGTTCACAGTTTCCAGCCTCTAAATTCAAAATCCCCATTCACCTCGAAAATACATTACTGTTTAGTGCACATTAGTGACTTGCTTCCAGACGGATATCACGAAGTTCTAATGAGAAGCCATGACCATTGGTGGGGTCAACCAGTCGGAAGTGAAGCAGATGTCAACTGAAGACCTTGAGTGAAGGTCGGACTATCTCGCGAATTGATAGAAGTTGAAAATTGTGAACCACTGAAAAATAACCCAGGGGCTGAATAGTTGACTTGTTCACCATGAAACCTGAAGCTGCTGGGTTCAATTCCTAGCCCGGTCGTGGGTGTGTACTACTGAGGAGTCCGAAACTACGACGCAATAGTTATCCAGTCCTCCCAGATTCTCAATGGCTCCCCAACTGATGTCAGTCCATGATGAATACTACTTGTATACATATAATTGTTTTTATATCGTACCGTCCTTGATCGGTTTCTATTGGCATATGGGATCCTGTGTGGATGCCTCGATATCACCTGTGCCCTTATGATAGTAATCATGGATAGTGGCTAGCAACTGGATCCAGGAATCACATTTCGTCCTGTTTGGGACTCATCAGCTGGATGTACCTACTTCCTGGTGAGTCCCAATTACGACGAAACGCACACACTGCATCCCACTGCTAGCCACTATCCATCATTATTATTTATTGATACTTGTACAAGAGGTGGTCGTTATGCCCCGTCTACTAGCATAACTTTGGCTTTTGAAACAACGGGTGTCAGGTTTAAGTCTCAGTTGGTGCAGGTACATCAAGTGAGTCCTAAATAGGACGAAATGGGCCTTCTAGATTCCACTACAAGCCATGACCGAATCCACTATAACAATATCAGAAGTTAGTCACTAAACCTCATACCTCTCTAACTAAGTCTTCTTATGATATTCATCAAATGAAACAATAGTGGTGTTATAATGATCATAGGTCACGATGTTTCAGATACGCCATGGATACTTAGAGAAATTGATAAGAATCAAATCATATTCGTGCTCATTGGGTTGTAGGTTCGAACCCCGACTCAGGTTATAAGGTTTCAACAGCCACGTAGAATGATTAACTTACACACACAATGAATGTGATTAATTGCCTTCAACTGCATGAATGTGTACAAGGTTGCTGAGTTTGTTTTCTCTTTTAATGTTTACGTGTAGAGTAATTACAATGCATATGTTGTTATATTCGTAGACAGTAACAAATGTCCTTCACGTGTCTATTTGCATTCTCAATGTAAACATTTCTAATAATAGAAGGTGGATAGTTCGAATCCTCTTGGTATGACCCAGATTTTTGTTTCACCTTTAATCATCATCACCCAGGATAGTAATCATGGATAGTGACTAGCAGTGGAATCCAGGATACGCATTTCGTCCCATATGGGACTCGTCAGCTAGACATACCTGCCTCCCAGTAAGTGATGTTGTTCCCACCGGGATTCGGAGACCGATCAATTCGGTCCAATCAACGACGGTATGATATAAAAAACAATTGTACTAATCACCCAGGATAAATAGAATGTCTATGAATGACATTGCATGGAGAGCCAGTGTAAAAGGTATAAGAAATGATTGTATCTCGGAAAGAAAATATCATAGTTAGATAGAATGGAATACATGTGTGACTGACTGTATCTGTGTGCTTGCAAAGTACACGTACAGTAAGAGAAAATGAAGAAAAAGAGCGGGGGAAGGTTCACTAATCTGTTTGTATGATGAGTTAGTGCATGTTAGCCATCTACTACTAAACTGTGGCAGACAAAGAGACTGAATAAGTTTCTTCTATGCGTAAACATGTCTTTATATACTATGAAAACTTTTTAGTAGCCCAAAATATTAAGCATGTCACCCTTTCTCAGCCATTTAAACATAGGGTTCTTAACCAATGAATCCTATCGTTTCGCCGATCCCAACCAAAAACAGTCTACACTAGCATACACGATTCAAAGACTTAACGCACTGGTACTACATTGTAGTATGGCCATCCTCAGCCTTCTTTCTAATCAAATTCAACTTCTACAAGCATGACATGTAGAGGTAGGCGGTAGCTTAGTGTGCGAAGTACATGTCTAAGCTATCTCAGTCGACTAAGGTTCACAACCTTCATCAATAGAATTGTCTCTCTTGGCCTAGAACCTTTTTTTCGAAATTCAACAGTGCTAATACAGCGATTCCACCATACGCGAGCAACAGTCGATTATTATTATTCATGTCACCCTCAACTCGGACGCCCAACTCGTCGCTTCCCATCTGGGTTCCACTCAAAGACCTGGGCCTGGCGCATGATGTCCCCAGTCAGCCTTCTCAGTGTATGCCCAATCCATCTCCACTTTCTTCCAGTGCATAGTTGTTGAGCGAATTTTTCTTGGTTGGTTTTTTGGCATCCAGAGTTCCTTGTTGTTCATTATTTCTGGCCATCTGAGCATCAGTAACGAGCCAGCGTAGGCAGTTGTTGATGAAAGTCTGTAGTTTGTTGGAAATCCCTTTCGTAACGCGCCAAGTCTCTGAAACATATACGAGCACTGACTTGACTGAATTAGTGTTGGAAATCCGGATACTGTTCACGCTTTGTGCTGAGTGCAAAAGATCTCCACACTGGTTTCAGGTTAATGAACGCTAGTCTTGCTTTACCGATCCTGGTTTTGACATCCTTGTCTGTGCCTATGCCGTCTGTAGTTGAAACAGTACTGCCTAAAAAGGGTGAAAGAGGCTACTTCCTTTAATTTTCTCCCGTTGATGGTGACTGGAGTTTGTTGTTGTTAGTGGTGGCGTTGGTTGGGTTTCATCATCACCTCTGTTTTCTCTACATTCACTTGAAGTCCCGTCTTCGCTGCCCTGCCTCTCCTATCAACTTGTTAGTTTTCGTCTGTAGATCTTCAAGTTTGTGTGAAATCAAAATCTTCTGGAATGTTTTTTTCGGTCCAGCAAATCCCCCTCTTCTCGTTCCTCATATTTTGTTGCATGATCCAGTCCAAAACAATCAGGATGATCATGGGTGATAGTAGACAGCCTTGTCTTACTCTCGTCTTCACTTCACCTCAGAAGCATCACTGAACTTTCAATTATGAATTACTTGGCATGTGGAGTCTTCACATAGTTGTTGAATGAGATTGTTAAGTTTTGTGGTATTCTGTAGTGTTGAAGCAGCTGTTCGCCAAATTACTCCTCGGTCGACGTTGTCAAAGGCTTTCTCAAAATCGATGAAATTGAAGTAAAGTTGACTGCCATTCTATACTTTGTTCTATAAGAGCAACCGTCGAAGATTATTTCAATTGATACTTTTCGGTAGAAGAACAACAATTTACAGTAATTTCAATTATTTTTGAGAACTTCTTTGTTTTATTGTCTGTAATCATCTTTGTATCATTCTTGTCATTATAACTACACTATCCTAGGTTGCACGACGTAGAAGGCATCCAAATTTATGTCTAGAAGGAAAACGTTTTGTAATTATACAACACCTCTTTCTTAATAGTTGATTCAGTGTTAAAGTCATCTTGAAAAAGTTGAGAAAAGATACTGGTTACCGTCACTTAAAAATTTATCAACCTCTTCATGTTTTCTCTTATGTTTCATACTTCTTCAAGAATATATTCAAAGGGAGAATTTATGAAGGCGTTGAGGAATTATCTCACTTCTATTGATATATATATATATATATATATATATAAATTTTTTGCAGAAAATGATGAGTGGGAACACAGTTCTAGATAAAGTCGACAACGGTTTTCACCTCTATCAATCTTAGATTCTACTTCAGGTAGTCGTTCATCATCAAGATCAACACAGGACCAGATATTACTGCATACATAATGGTCCAACTTCCCACAACTCGCCTCATATTACCATATAAAGTAAAAAGGTAGTAAAATGGAAGATGAAGAAGGAAAGAAAAATCGGTCAAAGCAGTAAAAGAGAAGATAATGAGATTAACTATGGCGATTAATGTAAGGATAACGTATGTATGCATCTGTGCCACTGACATCGATTCTGAGCCATATCACTAACACTCAGTCTCCAACCGATGGTTTCCTTTGTCCCTGAACCTCGACCGGCTAGTCTGAATCGCTCAACATGGCTTAAACCAACGGTCAACGACCTAATGCATTAATGTCATGTTTTAGTCTGGTAGTCCAAAGCCTTTTTCCAGCTTGGATCAAAGTCGGCCAACACTGTATAACCAGGTAGAGGGTGGCTAGGCGCGTACGTAACACAGGTCCCAACCAGCCATTTCAGTCGATGAAGACTCACAACAGTATCAACTATCTTACCTTTCCTGCCTAGAACTCTACACCTAACTTCTGCGTTACTCACGTGGTTGCCA